CCCCAAGGCGTTCCCAGGCCAGCCGAGAGACATAGTCCCTCCAGCGTGTCCTGGTTCTTCCTCGGGGCCTCCTCCCTTGGAAGATCTGAAAATATAAATTAATACCACTATACAAAACATAATTCTGAAAAGTCAAGGCATCAGACAATGAAAGAACTGTACAGTGATGAGTCCAACCAGGAAGTTTTTTATGAATTTTGTAGGCCCTGTTGTAGAGCGTAACTATGGGTTCTAAGATTTCATTTGTTGTAAGAGACCAAACAGGTAAACAGTACGACATGGTTGAGAGTATAATGGCATGAAGATAGATATTTGAAACAGAAGATGTCAGATTGGATCTAATTTTTGAATAAACTTATAATTTCTGTTTCAACTTAGTGGTTAAGACTTGTACATGATCACAATAAGTCAAATGAGAATCCAAAGTAATTCTAAGTTATTTGTAGGTAGTAACAATATCAAGGGGTTTGTTTAAAAAAGTGAGTTGATTTGTTATATTGAAATGTCTCCTGGGTGAGGAAAAATACAATGCACACAGTTTTTTTAACATTAACTGACAAAAGTTAGGATGTTTGGCAGGAAGACAGGCCAGACGCCGGGTTTCTCCGACACAGAGGCAAACATCAACAAAGATACGGATCAACCGGGAAAACTGAAATATAACAAACCTGTTGGGAAATAAATCAAGACTGACAGATGCTCGTGTAAATCTGATCTAATGAAAATGAAGTCAAGATGTTTAATGATGTGTAAACCTAATAAAAGGGATTTAGTATAAAGTATGACTCATTTTGAGCCTGACAATAAAATCAGTTTTTATTATAGGCAATACTGAGCAATATAACCAACTTTAAAGCTTTTGTTTGGTTGAGCTTTTCTACTTGATTTGCAGTTTATATGTAGCAAATATGAGGGGAAAACTACCTGCTGCAGCTTTTATAGAGCTAAGGAAGCTTGTGTGGTTCAAACAAATGCAAAAGTAAAAGCTTATCTTCTGTTTATTTCTCAGTTTGACATCATATGGGACTTTTTTCCCACAAAGTAGACCTACTTTTGCTCATCTCTGANTAAATATTCTTAAATTTAAAGATATATCTATATCTTAAATCTAATTCCTAAATCTAAATGTATTTATTAAATCTCATATCTAAATCTTTAATCTAAACTTGGCACCCCATACATTTAGTTTTTAGTATTTTCAGATAAAATAAAAAACTATGCAGTTCATTCAGCAGCCCAATTAGCCCACAGATACCTTTTCAAATACAATCTCCTGAGCCAGATAATTAGTCAGGAATGTTTAAATGAAGCTAAAAACGTAGTGCATGTCATCTTCTGCATGTGCTGTGACGCAGGCTTCCAGGAGTTTTAAATAACAGTAAGGAGTAAGGTCAGTGTTCAAAGCCTGACCAGTTAGGGGAGAAGAATGTTGACCACAGTGATAATGTTAGCGCTGTTGATGCTGGGGGGTCTCAGAGGGGCAGCAGCGTCTGACTTTCACGTCTTTGGTAAATCCATCCACGATGATGAGACGTTGCAGAGCAGCAGCAGCGACAGGATCTTGCTCAGGAAACAGCCCCGTCAACAGGTGAGGAATGATCAGGTTTGACTCTGTTGTTTAAGTGGATCAGAACAAATGTAACATTTTGAACAGTTTACCATTCACTCTTTTTTTTATAGATTTTTAACAAAACATATCAAAGAAAAGTTCAATTTCTTTTACTTTTTTTTGTATTTCAGCTGCAGAAAACACAGTTGCTTCCAAAAAAATTGTCTAAAATTCTGTTGTTTTGTGAAACAATTTAAAATATTCTGCTTTAAATGAGACAATAATATTTAAAAAAGATATTTGACCCAACCAACGYCTCCAATCTCTGTCTCCTCTGTCCAGATGACAAGTGGCATCCGCAGAAGTCTGGACCTGGAGAGCTTCAAACTCCACGTGACCCCCGCCACCAGCAAGATCAGCCTGCCCACCATCATCAAGCTGTACCCCCCGACCGCCAAGCCCCTCCACATGCACGCCAACATGCCCCTGCGCTTCGGCAGGGACAGCAGCGACGACCGGGCCCCGAACTCCAGCCCCAACATGCCCCAGAGGTTCGGCAGGTCCTGGGAGCTGCTCCAGATGTGCGGCGAGTGCCGTGACGTCCGGGAAGCCCCGAGCCCCGTGCTGCCGCAGAGGTTTGGAAGAAACGTACCCTACTGGAGCCTGCTCAGGACTCTGGCCAGCGAGCACTTATTAAACACCGGTTTGAGCTGGTAGGCATGCTTTGTCTGCAATCCTCCCGTTTTTACTCAGCTGAGGTCTTTGAGCGAGCATCCTGAACGATTGTTGTGTGTTTTCAYCCTGCAGGGTGGAGGATTTGGGCTTTAAAAGAAGTTCAGAAGAAGATGAGATGGAAGAAAAAACCTTTAAAGAGTGAACGATCCTTTGGAGGCCGACCGAGAGGTCTGCTTCAAAATGTAAATAACAAATATGCTGTGATTTTTCTAACTCTAAACAAAATGTTTCAGGTTAAATATTAAAGCAAAGATTGGATTTGAAGTATTTATGTAATCAGTGTGAATAAAGTTATTTGTTTTCTTGATTATAAAAGAATGATGTTTTCAAAAGAAAAGTCAAAATAAAGCTTACCTCATCACCTGAAGCTCAAGATGGCCTTTGTTAAACAAAGACGTTCTATCCAGCTTCACTGAACCATCCATCCATCCATCCATCCATCCATCCATCCATCCATCCATCCATCCATCC